GCAAGACCCAAGTTGACTGGCTCCACGGCTGCATTAGCAGTGCAAGGACCATTGTTGGTTTGGCTCCACGGCTGCTTTAGCAGTGCAAAGACCATTATAAGATATAATTTTCTTATATTGAACACCCCGATACTCTTGATAGCTATGTGAGTCTTTCTAACTTCCAATATTTGTATAGTTAGGATAAATGATTAAGTCGTTTGTCCGTCTCTGTGTAATGTGTTGGATTCTTGCTATTTGGTTTATCATTTGTGTTGAGATGGGGTTTATTAATTTCAGGGTCATAGACCCTTACAATTGCGTACAGTATTGGCCTATGATAGAGCTCGTAATTGGATAGCATACCCTATTCCCATATGTTTTCAGCTTTGTTTAATAAAGTCATCTGATTGAGCAATAATCATAGCATACATGAAGATCTAATTTTAGGGGCTTAATTTTAGCCAAGCGATAAATCGCTACTTTAGATGCAGCACTATTCTTGCACGATAAATTGTATGTCTCTACTGGGTCGTCGGATCTTCCATTATTGTTACACGGGAGATGCTATTGTGAACCTTAAAATGGGGATTTTGGTGCGTTGTGGATTAATCTAGTCCATTTGTAACGTTACTTATTGCGGTTCTCAAAGAGGTGTAACAGTCGCAGATTATGATATCATGAGAATCGGCAGATCCTGGCAAGTTTTTATTTCGAACGAATATAAAAGTTGCCGATTGAAAAATATGATTGATAAAAATTTAAAAATTTTGAATTTCTTCTACTATGATGAAAATCATGAGTCGGACCTTATTGCAAAGCACTAATACATTTTCCTTAGTCTCTGAGATTGCGATATAAATGCATCCCACAATCTTAGCAGTCTGTTCTTTATATGAATACTAATAATTTCGAATACATAGAAAAATTCAGACGATCTAGATAAGGAGAAGGTTGAAAAAAATAATAGCTATTTCGAGAATACATTACATGTAAAGTATGGAAATGGCCTGATGAAAATGTAAAGTTGTCTGGAACTAGCAATGTATTTAGACAATTTTAATAAGTGCTGTAATAATTCAACTACAAGAACCGCTTTACGTCGAATGTTCATAGTAAATTTTATTGTGCTTTTAGTCACACAAACAATTTATTGCTTTCTTATCGTTATGTGTGACAGAATAAGTCAACATGAAATGTTAAGTGTAACATAACCATAACAGTACAATAACGTTATTTATAAAGCAATTGACAAAGAACTTTTTATTTACCATTTAAAAAAAAATTATTAATTTTAGTGCAAGTAGAACGAAAAGAACATTAAGATATCGTTATCTCATAATTAGAATCTAGATTTTCTGAGTTTATGTTTTGATTTAAGATTAATTATTACTTACGTTAACCACCGAAATGATGTTTATAAAATGATAATCTAACGCTAAATGATTTTTGCTAAACGGATATGCGACGGAAATTTCCGCACGTACTACAAATTCTAAATAATCTTTGTATTCAACCTTAAGTTACACATGGCCTTTCATAAAGAATTTGCAAATCTTCATGTTTGTTGGCTTTTTTTTTTAAATATATATTCGATATTCCTGGTCATAAATGTTTAGTTTACTAAAAAGTTATTTTACAAACTATGCCAAATAAAATCTCATTTTTAAATTATATTGACGAGCAGAACATCCGAGTTATTAATTACAACGAATTTGTCAATGTATCAAAAATTAATAAATCTGGAAAGATTAAAAAAGCAAATTCGCTAACCTTTGGTGTAATCGCTCTAAAGAAACTAAATCTAGGATCAGGTTTCGATGAAAATATTTTTCAAACCATATCTACAAAGGTTCATCTCATTTTTTAATAAATTATTAAATCTACTTCACAATAATAATAAATAAATCTTCATCAATACTGTAGATTAAACGTTTATGCGATATAAAACCGCATCCTAATATCAATCAAATATACGGGTTGACCAAAGGTTAAATAATAATTTGCTATTTAATATTAGTTAATAATAATTCTTGTATTTAATATCTTTTTATTTATTATTAAACATTTTTTAAATCACTTTTAAATTAGACCCTAGTGATGAGAGTTGTTATTTGGTTCTTCAATATGCAAGTGATGGAAACTTACGCGAATATTTAAAAAAAAACTTTAAATCACTTGATTGGAATGACAAATTACGGATTGCAAAAGAAATAGCGCAGGGTATTAAATATTTACATGAACATGATATTATTCACAAGGATCTTGTAAGAATAATTTATCGTAATTACTATAACTTGTATTTATTATAACATCGTGTTAACAATTTTAACTTTTAATAGAACTCAAAACATATTTTAATTAATAATGGTGAGATGATGTTATCTGATTTTGGTATATCAAAACTGTTAAATCAAGCAGAGATATCAACAAATGTTATGATTCATGGATTGCCAGCTTATATCGATCCGAAATGTTTAAGCGACCCAAATTATGTACGTAATGAGAAGTCTGATATTTACAGTTTAGGTGTTGTTCTTTGGGAAATTTCAAGTGGCCATCCGCCTTTTCAATCCTTGAAATCTAGAGATGCAGTAACTTATCATATATTTAAAGGAAATAGGGAGATTCCTGTAAAAGATACTCCTCAGCAATATGTTGATCTATATACTTGTTGTTGGGATGCTGATCCTGAAAAACGGCAAGGACTTCAGGAAGTTTTTTATGTTTTAAATAAATTAATAGAGGAAGAAGCTTTAAACCTAAGGGCTTCTTTATCTGATTCTGACGATTTACCTGCTTCGTGTATTAACAATTACCCGTTTGAAAGAACTACTTCTTTACCAGATGAATTAATTTACTTGAATTCATTGATTATGAAACCTGAACATATCATATATATTTCTAGTTGGATAGACAATCTTCCAAGAAATATTTTCTTTAGATTAATTCAGCAAAAAAGATTCTATTCGGCTAGGAAGATTCCTTATGAGTTTAAATTACTTATAAGAGGAAGCCATGATGGTTTTACCGCAAAAACATTTCATGAAAAATGTGATGGCAAAAGTCCAACGCTAACAGTTTTAAAAGTTAAAGGCACAAATGAAATTTTAGGTGGCTATAACCCAATCTGTTGGACTGAATCTACCGAACAAATTTATGCAACAAATAGCTTTATTTTCAAATTGGATTATTATAAACCTTCAAATTCAATACTTAGTCGAGCAAAACAAAAAGAATCTTCGATTAAATCTGAAATAAGCATGGGTCCACATTTTAGTAGTGATTTATGTTTAATAGAAAATTTTGAAAAAGACTGTAAATGTAAATGTCATATAAAGCATTATGAAAAACAAATCAGGGAAACTGACGATCTCTTTTCAGTAGATGAATATGAAGTTTTTCAAGTAATTAAAAAAAAATGACATTGCTTCTTCATTCACAAATATCAATGATTAGTTATTCATTACTACCTTATATATATATTTTATGATATAAATTTTATATTTTACAATATTTATGTATAAAAACATTATTTATAGATTTCCAATTAGCAGAATTATAGTTATTTACTCTTATTTACTCTTATTGCGTTTTTTTTTCATTTGCACATATTTAACGAACAATCTTATTAAAGTCTAAAATATGCATTTACATAATTTTACAGTCTTGATTAAATTTATAGGCTATGGCAAGTTTTATAGATAATTTTGCACTGGTTTTATTAAACCCAATTAAACTGGGTTTTAACATATAAAACGGATCCAAACTCTAGCAGGTTTGAATATATTTTTACGTTGTTAAATGATTCGTGTAGTTGATGATGAAACCATTCAGTTATGTGACTTCAAATTGACAAATGACGAAACCTACTTCGACATAACAAGTGACGAAAGTACAGTGAAACCTTCACTCTTAAGACTAAAACTTACCCAACAGAACTCAAAAATTCTGTGTCAGATTGTTGATCATTGTGGTGCAGCAGCAAAATTTTTCAAAGTACATTAAAGTTGTAGTTATATAGTAAAATCTCTCAAAGATAACCCTTTGTTAGAGCACCAAGGATGGTTTTTTTTATAGACTTTTGAGAAATAAATGATTTTTAACAAAACAAACATTTGTTCTGAAATGCTGCACGTAATTCTTGAGATCTAATTTGTATATTATTAATCTAAAACACACATTGCAAAGTGCGGTTTAAATAGTGTTTCGTCCTAAACCCTTTACCAACGTCCGAAACGTTTCGCCATTTGAGTTTCGGTTTCGACAAATTTCGAAATCTCAGAAACCTCCGAAATTGGTAAATTCCCACTTAGTACGTATTCTAAACCGTAGAAATGATCCAAATATTTAAAATAACCGATTCAGGTTCAGAAATGTTTATTTCATTATAGAGTTCCTATCCATTAACCATTTATTCATTTATGGATCTCCAGATCTGAATTTATTCGTATACTGTATCAGTTTTGCTATATTGAGTCATCGGCTGAGTTTTAATTTGAACAAACATGTTTAATCATAACATGTTAAAAAATAACAAGAATTTTTTTATCATCATATATGAGTTTGCTATATATTAAAAATTTTATATTACAGTAATCCATTGATTGGCAACAACTCAAAGAATTAAGATTATATGTCTCTGGTGATGAATGCACAATAAGCACATGATACGAGTGTTAGAATTGATAATATTAGCATTAACATTACATCACCAGGAGCAACAATAGCTCTTGGATTATTATATTTGAAAACAAATAATGTTAATGTTGCAAATAAAATTCCCATCCCTGAACCTGAAATTTTCTTGGATTATGTGCGGCCAGATTTTCTTTTGATAAGGACACTTACAAAAAATTTAATAATGTGGTAATATTCAATCTACAAAAGAATGAGCTAAACTCATGTGCCTCAATATATAACATCGAAACTGACACCTAATTCTGATATTAATTATGACAACATCGAATCTATTAGAAAGTTGTATTATTATTTATTGTCGGGTGCCTGCCTTCTTCAGTATGGCACTTAAATATGCAGGATTCGATGATAAAAAGGCACTTAAATACTTACTTTCTTATTTTGATTTATTTTTTGGATTTGAAAGTATAAGAAGGGGTAATATTTCGCCTCAAAGTTATGATTATGATGTAAATTCTGATTTATACTTGTAAATTTTTAGCATCAACATTCGATGAAGATATCACAATGTCAGCCATCAAATCTTGTTTGAATGTTTATCTAAAAACTTCAAGTACTATTTCGCATTCATATAGAACTCATATGGTAACAAGCATGTCATTATAATTCTTGTTTCTTGGGGGAGGAAACTTTACACTTTCGACGTCTAACAATCGATAGTAGGTTTAGTTTGTGCATTATTTCCAAGATATTCAATTGAACCGTATGATAATAGGGCATATTTGCAAGCTTTTAAACGCTTGTGGGTATTGGCAGTTGACCTATACGATTAGAATTCGGGAAAGATTTAGTAAATTTTGGAAAGATCCAACAGTACATACAAAAAGAAAAATTGGGCATTTGACGTAAATTTTTGTTAATACATATTTTAATTAATAATATATTGCAAACATAAATTAATATTATATACGTGCATATTGGTTAAATGTTTTAGGATCCTCAAGGTCTACATGATTTACTTACACATATTTTTCCAGATGGCAAGTCTTTGATGGATACTAGAAACCAAACGACATTCAGGCGACAAAACCTTGATTTTATCAGAATTTTTTCGCCTGATCCGCAAGTACAAGATACCTTTGCGAGTACTTTAACGCTAATGATGATGAACAAGCATTGTCATCATTTTGTACAGGAATTCTTTCAGAATGCTTGAACGAGGATAAAGTAGAGGCGCTTCAAATTTATCAAAAGCTTTATAAGACATGGAAGGAATTAATGAAATGGATTTATAGAATGTTATGTTAGTTCTTGAGTATGCCAGAAATACCTGATAAGCATATATTATTAAACTAGGCGCTTGAGTTACTTAAAGGAGTTAGAGATGAGTGCGGTGTATTTGATTTTATCCGGCAGCTTACTGTGATTTATCTGCTTAATAATTTTATTATTGGGTAGAAACGAAAGTTTAAAACAGTTTAAAATAGTTTAATCTTTGCATCTGCTCAATAATTTAATTATTGGGCAGAAAATCATAATAAGCCGCCTGATAACTATTTAGTATCGGTATATTATGTACGTAATAGAAACTATAACTTTAGATAAGTTAACAAATATTGAATGAATAAATAATATAGATACGTGACGTTGCCACGCAAAATAAGGAACAAAGCATTGTATTTAATAAATGTATACATTGTTATGCGCATTATACGACCGAATATTCAATAAATCAAATATATTCCTAGTTCTAGATAAATTTGTAGCAAAATGTTTATTTGAGATAAAGAGTTGGAAATATGTTGCATCTAAGATTTAAAAGCGCACATGAAATTGGGTTATATGAACTTAAAGGTACAGAAATAATGCTATAAACTTGTAATAAGCAGGGATGTTATGGTCCATCTCGTTCCTAAAAACTGGTCCTAGCTAAGGACCGCGAACTGGATTTTGGGCCAGGACCAGTCTATTGGCTGGTTTTCAAAGTAGGCTATGTGGTTTTTTAATGTCCATTACAAATAAAAAGTCAAATTAATCAATTTTGACATAACCAAGCATGAAAATTTATAAACTTGTTACAAATTTTATATAGATTGGATGTCTTTTACTATCCTGTACTAGATTGATGCAAGTTAGCTAACATATACACTAGTTAAAATCAAAAATATCAGTATCTGATTTGTGACTTATATGTAACTTATGTTACTTAAATTGACTTATTTAAAAATAAAACATAGATTAGCTTTATGTTACATATAAGTTACATATAAATCACATATCAGATGTTGATATTTTGTTAATAATTTTGATTGTAATAAGTGATAGATTTCTAAGTCTAGCACTTACAAAAAATTGTTTATCTGGACTGAATTTCAGAATCAGATATAATGAAATAACTTTAAAGTTTAAATAAAAAACTGTATTTTGCAGCCTAATTAAGATTTACAATAATATATAACATTATTATAAACCTAAATTTAAATATAGTGAAATTTTTATATATAAGGATAGTAAAAAATCATTTTTTAATAATTTTTATATTTTTAATCTAATTTAATATAATGGTTTAAAATATTGTTAATTATATAATTAAAACTGAAATTATTGCACCTAATTGGATAATTTTAATTTTGATATTGCTGTAATATTTAAATAATATAATATTATTAAAATTACATTACATGATCTAAAATAAAATTTATTTGGTTATCAATAATAATAATTTAAATTATAAAAAAAATCATTTTGAAGCAATATAATATTGATTTAAAACATTGTATTTTAAATCATTTCTATCTTTATCTATATACAACTTTATTTATTTTGAAAACAAACTACATTTTTTTGATCATTCTTATATATAATTTTAAATCTTAATTAGTTAAAATTAATAATTTTTAAAGAATATTATTATATTAATTTTATATTAATAATCAGTTTTATTCTAAAATATCATAGATTTATTTGAAATAATGTAAAGATAAGTTTTTATTATATAAAAATATTTTAAATAAATTAATAATTTAAATTTTAACTCAAAAATATACTAAGTTTTCTTATAAAATAGCTTAAACACTAACTTTCTTCAATTTTAACTTCTTTATCTGCTATAATAAATAATAATTTATATTTTACAAATAAATTATAATTATTAAATATATTTAAATACTTATTTTTTTTTGGTATTAAGGTGAGACCTTGCTCATATCTTTATTGGTAGTTTTTGAAGTTAGTAACTTTATGGAGTTACTATATACAAAAATAATTCTATATAAATGCTATAACCAAGGCCAACACTTGCAGTTAGAGCTAATCATTAAACTGCTAATTATATATAACTAGCTTAAGTACAAAAAAAAGAATACTACATTCAAGAGTAAAGCTTAAACATATTTATCTGTGACCTAAACCTACTAGAGTAGTCAAAACTCATCTAGATTTGAATAGTTTTTTTTTTTTTTTTTTTTATTATTATATAATATCAAGTAGAAAAATAAAAATACATGAATATATCAATTGGATATTAATGTATA